TTTAATTGTGTGTTTTAATATTATCTTGTGTTTTGCTTCCTGTAAATTTCGGTCAGGAGATCTACAGAGGAGAGTTGATGTGGGTAGTTTTTTAAAATAAAATAAAATTAAGATTATTTTTTACTTAATACTTAAAAGTAATTATATTAATAAAATTTTGTAATATAGCTTCTTAAAATTTGTATTTTCTTATAATTTATTATAAGATTTACAATATAAAAATTAATTTTTCAAAGATTTTTTTTGTTAATTTCATTACTTTTCTTAGTACTTAGTTTATATAATATAATTAATTAAATAAAAAATACATTTATTTAAATTTTAATAATTACAATAATTTATAATTTTAATTTAAAAGTTATTATTATATAAATATAAACTAATAAAAATTAAACAAATTATTTTTATTAATTTTTTTAAAAAACTTTAAATATTAATAACTTAATAAAAATTTAATCAAATTTAATAAAAATTTTTTTAAATAAATTTTATAAGTTTATAAAATCAGGTTAAAAATTTTTTATTAAATTTGATTAAGTTTTTATTATTATTAAAATTTTTAAAAAAATTTATTTAAAAAAAATTTGTTTGATTTTTATTAACTTAATCTTATATATATAATTTAATTAGTTTTTTAAAAAAATATTGATAGTTTAAATTTTAAAATTTAACAAACTATTGAATATATTTATAAAGAGCTTATATCAAAACTAAATTACTAATAATAAATAATAACAAAAAATAATTAAATTAATATACTATAACTTAATCAAAAGAAATAATAAATAATTACAAATAAAAAGTATTCAAAACTTAATTATATTATTTAATAGTTTTAACAATTTTTTTAGCTTTACTTATTAGATTTAAAATTAGAAAACTAAATATAAGTTTAACTTTTATCAATATTAAATTTATAAGCTTTGTCTAACAAATATAATCTAGACACTTTATTAATCTTGAAAACAAACTTGATTACTAAAAATTTAATTAAAAAAAATTATTTTTTTGTTTTAAAGATTCTTATATATATAGTATAAATAACAGTCAAATTTAAAAAAATACTTTATACTCAACTTTTATAATTATTATTTTATTTTTATGAATATTTTAACAATATATAGAGAAAAAAATATAGTTTCTAAAAATATATTTAGTTTTTCTAAATAATTTGTTTTTATAATAAACAATTTAATTAAAGTTAAAATAAAAACTTTAAAAAAATATTTTTAATAAGATGTAAAGTTTTCATAATTTTTAATCATTTCAATTTGTTGTATTTCAAGATTAGAAATTTGATTAGCAGTATATGATTTAATTCTTCTTATTTTATCAACACCAATTTCTTTAAATATATCATAAATAACAAAAGCTTTTTGAGTTCCTTTTCATAATGTTTTCATTGTAACATATGGAAGATGATCAGTAATTTCTTTATAAGCTATTGTTTTTGCCATTTTTATAGAATATTTTCGATTATTATTTAGGATTTCTTTTACTCTTGCATCAAAACCAGCAGCATATTCATACCACTTTTCTATTTTTCTTTGATTTGCAATTACTGCATTTTTGGCAGCATGTCCACAACTAATATATAATTGAGCCAGTCTTGGTAGTTTTTCTATATCAATTCTATAATATAAAAGTTATAAAATAATTATAAAAAATTAGATATATATTACAATTTTATAATGCAGATTATATAATATAATAATTAATATTTAAAAATTAGTAATTATATTAATAATTATTACTAAAATTTTAATTATTACATTTTATAATATTAGTATTATATAACTTATTATAATTTTAATTTCAAAATTTTATATTAAAATTATTAAAATACATTTTTACCTATTATTTGAGTCTTTATCTTCACTATTGTACAAGTCCATCATTACATTAATTTCAGTTCTAAGTTGTTTTATAATTCCAATTGTTGTTTCCAATTTTTTTGGTATTTTTAATATTTTTGGAGTAATAGGCATAGTAGTAGACTTGGTAATAGTTGTAGTATGTGTAGTAGTAGGCATAATAGATGTAGTAGTTGGTATAGTAGTTGGTATAGTAGTTGGCATAGTAGTTGGCATAGTAGTTGGTATAGTAGTCAGCATAGTAGTTGGCATAGTAGTTGGCATAGTAGTCAGCATAGTAGTTGGCATAGTAGTTGTAATAGTAGTATTAAATATATCAATTACTATAATTAATAATATAAATAAATTATTAATAAATATATATAACTAAATGTAATATATTTAGATTTAAATAGTTAAAAAACTTTTTATAAAAAGTTGACTAATTTAATTATTATTTGAAGCAATTTATATATAAATAAAATAAATTTATATTATATAATTATTAAATTTATATAATACTATTTAAATTTAACTTTAACTAATAATAATTAATTAAAGTTAAATTGTTTGTTATATAGTTTATCAAAGAATAATTAGTATTAAAATATTTAGCAATCTAAATTCATACATTGAGAATTAGATTCAATTTGTTGAAAAATAGGTTGATCTTTTTGGTTTTCTGTTTGACAAAGTGGACAAGTATCAAAATCATATTCTGCAATACATTCTTTGTGAAAAAAATGTTTACATGATAATATTGTAATAGATTTTGTAAGACTTGGACAAATTTGTTGATAGCAGATTGTACATAAATTTGGTTGTAAGTCTATATCTATAGAATTATTTTCAAGAGAAATTATTTGAAATAAAAATTTAGCTAATGATTCCATTTTTAATTAAAAAAAAGATATTATATTTATAATTAACGTTAAATATAATAAAAATTTAGTTTTAATATTTATTTAATAATTAAAATAAAAGTAAAGTTGAGATAAAATTTTTGAACTTGTATTTAAATATTTTTTAATATTAAAGCTAATAATATAAATTAAATTTAATAATTTATAATTTAATAAATTTTTAAAATTTTTATTAAATTTAATAATTGTTCGTAACAGTATTATTAATATATAAATATTTATTATTTATAAAACTTCAATAATAATAAAATTGTTTTTATTTTTAAATAATTAATGATTTAAGTTATATATTATTATAATATATGTATATATTTTTACTAAATTAAATAAATTTTTTGTATTATTATTTTAAAATAAATTTAATAAAATTAATAAAACGAATCAAACTTATTAAAAAAATTATAGTAATTTAAAGAGAATAATATTTTCAAAATACTAAATTTAAGTATACATAATAAGGTTTAAAAGTAAAATAATAATAATTAATTATAATTATTAAATAAAAAATAATTATTTTTAATAATATAATTATTAAATAAAAAATAATTATTTTTAATAATATAATTATAAAGATATAATTAAGTAATATTATTTATTAAATATAAATAATAATACTAAATATTAACATTATTGTACAAATTTAGAAACAAAAAATTTAATTAATTT